ATTGTGACCAACTTTTTAATATTATAAATTATTCTGCAGTGAATTTTTTCTATCATAAGATTTTCCTATATTTCAGAGCATCTCAGTAAAGATAGTTGCCTGAAAGCAGATATGAATGTTTTTGAGACATGAGAAACATATTTGAAAATGTTTTCCTGAGAAGACTATGTTCATCTGTAATCCTCAAAGCGCTTTATATGAGTGCTCAGCTCACACATTTTCACCAGCATTGAGTACACGAAGCCATTCTTGAGTAAATTCACTCATTTTTAATGGAAACAATTGACGTTCCTATGAAATTAACTACAGATGGTCCCTAACTTAACAATGGTTCAACATACGATTTCTCAACTTCGCGATGGTACAAAAGTGGTACACATTCAGTAGAAACTGGACTTCAGATTTTGAGTTTTGACCATACCAGTAGCAATATGCAATGGGATGCTCTCTCCCCATGCTGGGTAGCGACAGTGATCCGCAGCTCCCAGTCAGCCAGGGGATCACCAGGGTAAACAACCGATACATTTACAACCATTCTGTACCCATTCAACCATTCTGTTGATTGCTTTCAATACGGTATTCACTAAATTATGTGAGACATATAACACTTTTTTATAAAATAGGCTTTGCATTAAATGATTTTGCCCAACTGCAGGCTAATGTAAGTGTTCTGAGCATGTTTAAGGTAGGCTAGGCTAAGCTTTAATGCTCAATAAATTAGGTGTATTAAATGCATTTTTGACATATATTTTAACTTATGATGGGTTCATCAGGATATAACCCCATTGTAAATTAAGGAAGATCTGTAGTATGAATAAAGGCAATTTACGTGTAAGGTTAGGTGGTGTAAGCCATTTAATTTAGTTCAAAGATCCACTTGATTGTTTATTGATCATGAAATGCCATTGCATCATCTTCATGTTATGGTTTTTGTTTCAGCAAGGTCATGTATTGATCTACTAAATTTATTTTCTCTCTGCTATTATTAGGAACTGGCTGAAATTTCTTCTGTGGCACATTTTATTATAACATCCAGTAATAAAAATATTATGTTTTTTTTTTAATCTAGCATATGCTTTACTTTCTTTATTGGGCATCTGTGATCACCAGCATTCTTCGTTATTTCAGAATTTCAGTTTTAAGCTGTAACATGATGTCATCTTTGGAGTCAGAAGACCTGAGGAACTATCCCAGATGCAGTTATGCAACCCTCATAAAATCATTCTCATTTTCCCCAGGAAATGATTATCAGATCCTTCACCCATAAAGTAGGACTATTATTGCCTTATGATGTTATTAAATAAATTAAATGAGAACCTTTGAAATAAAGTAGAAATATAGGTTGGCATTAGTTATCCCTTTCTAAGTCTAGGTTCCCAGTAGAACCCAGCGTGAGAGCTATTTTACAGGCATAATTGGTCACCTTTATCTGCCACCTTCTCTGATACAGCCAAGGGAGCACATTATACAGTGCATCAAACCCTACCCAAATTTTTAGAGACCATGTGAGGCCTTTTGTTCTCCCAGCATCCTCCCCTGCCCACACACCAACATTTCATACTGCCCAGAGTTCCAGCTTCAAGTCTGTCATTGCCTGGAACCACTTCAGAAATCTTAAACTCCTAACTTCTGCTCTCATTTGAATTTTTCACACTCCTAGTTCTCTTCATCCCTCACTTCTATGACATTCTTGCTGACCTCATGGAAACCTGAAATCTCTTGCTGCTTCTGTTTTTTCCTAGACTGTCAGTCTCCCACCTGGTCCCCAAAAAAGTTAAAATAATTATCATTGATAGAGCTCTTTTGATTGCCCTTAACTTCCTCTTTGACCCCCCTCAAACTATGCTAGTATGTGCCATTCTCCCCAAGTGCTCTATGTATACAAAATTCTTGACGCTTCCTGCTCAACGGATTACCTTGCTCCTTACTTGTTAATAAATACTTACTGAATAAAGGGATAACTAAATTATTAAACTACTTTGTATCCATTCTTGTCATTCTTTTTTTTATATAATGTCACTGTGTGGCATGGACAGTAGTGTTCACCAAGTATTCCATGAATTTCTCTTATATTTCCCAGCCTTTCTTGAACTCAAGGTTGAGGCCTTGTAAACAGTTCTAGACATGGAGCTATAAGCAGAAGTGATATGGGTCACTTCCTGTCTGAGATCTTTTTTTTTTTTTTTTTAAAGATTTTACTTATTCATTTGACAGAGAGAGACACAGCGAGAGAGGGAACACAAGCAGGGGGACTGGGAGAGGGAGAAGCAGGCCTCCCGCAGAGCAAGGAGCCCGATGCGGGGCTCGATCCCAGGACCCTGGGATCATGACCTGAGCCGAAGGCAGACGCTTAACGACTGAGCCATCCAGGCGCCCCTCCCGTCTGAGATCTTTAAGAAACAGTGGCTGGTTTTCTATACTCTCTTCTCTGCTTTGGCGCTTCTGGAAGTCTTGAGATGGTGGCAACACAAGACTCTGGAGGCAAAAGCCCATGACACTGGACAAGTAGTGGGAGTGGGAAGTAAACCTGTCTGGTGTTAAGCCACTGAGATTTCAGAATTAATTTGTTACCACAGCACAACCGAGTTTATCTTAAATAATGCTCATTGTTCCACATTTATAAATTAATGTCCATCTTATTACATACATAAGATTGTATAGAAGTTACCAGTATGCAACTCATTTTCCTAAAGTCTGCATGATTCATAGGCTTAGGAAAATCTGCACCATATGACTGATATTTTCCAACTGGCCTGACTGTTCCTAGCCAGCCCTTTGCCTCAAAGTCTCTGCATATCAGAGTGTGCTTCGTACACTTGATTTGTTTTCCATTCTTACCCAGCTTAACATACAGGTAGAGTAGTTCATCTAAGTAAAAGTGAGAATATTTTCCTACACAAAAAAATCCCCCACATTTATTCACACATGCCTCTGAGTCTAAAGCTGAATGCCATGCTCTAACTTTAGATTTTGATCCTTAGGTTTTTTTCTGTGTTTATTGAGAGATTTTTTTTAACTTTTTTTAATTTAAATTCAATGAATTAACATATGATGTATTATTTGTTTCAGGGGTACAGGTCTGTGATTCATCAGTCTTATATAATACCCAGTGCTCATTACAACACATATCTTCCCCAATGCCCATCACCCAGTTACCCCATTCCTCCACCCCCTTCCCCTCCAACAACCCTCAGTTTGTTTCCTATGATTAAGAGTCTCTTATGGTTTGTCTCCCTCTCTGGTTTCGTCTTGCTTCATTTTTTCCTCTCTTCCCCTATGATCTTCTGCCTTGTTTCTTAAATTCCACATATCAGTGAGATCATATGATAATTGTTTTTCTCTGATTGACTTATTTCACTTAGCATAACACCCTCTAGTTCCATCCACGTCATTGCAAATGACAAGATTTCATTCTTTGATGGCTGTGTAATATTCCATTGTATATATATATATATATATACCACTCTTCTTTATCCGTTCATCCTTGTTATAACTGAAATTTCTCCAAAGAATAGTACCCTGTTCCATTGCAATTGCAGTCTAAAGGCATCAGAGACTCTCTCTGAAGTAGTCCTGGCTGTCTCTGAAGCCCTCCTAATGTGTCAAAGATGTGTGTATATAACTTCTGCTGACCCACAATTACCAATATTCTCATCATAAGTTAGAAACAATTCCATTCTTTTTCACTATTATTCTATAAAATACACTGGTTTTCCTAAGTGGGTCTCAAATTTTATTGAACTATGGTTGTATCTTGTTTCAGTGATAATTTTTTTTTTCAGTTGAAAGAGACAAAGCATCTGACTTTCAGGTGTGGCTTAATTTCAGCCTAATATGTTATCAGGATCCATCTTTTAACTCAAACAGGCTCTTCCCTGTTTATCATGCCTGAAGATCCCAGTTTCTAATCCAGCAGGGAAGAACAAGAGTCTCTTCCCCTGAAGTCTCAGTGAAAGAAACATTACTTCTCATCTGCTCTGAATGGATCCTGTTCCCATCCTTGAGCCAATCCCTGTGGCTAGGTGAATACAATGCACTAATTAGCTTAGGCGTTCCTCACTTTCCTGAAGTGACAAAAAGGAATCAACTTCAAGGGAAGCAGGTGGCCTTAAGTTGCTGAATGGGAAAACTTTTGGAGAGAAATCAGAAAAAGTCATCACAATCAAGAGATGATGCTGGTAGCAATAGCTTCCTTTATCCTCTCTATACAGTCTGCTGCCCACAGGTGGAATTTAGAGACAACTTTGATTTAGGGACTTAGAGTGTTTCATTATGCACTGTGTGTTAAACCTTGATCATATTCTCTCTCTCCTTTCTTTGAACTTCTCTACATTATTCTTTTCTCCCATATACTACCTTCTGTTTCAGTTATTTATATGTATTTATCTCCTCACGTAAATCATCAGCTACTTCAAGGCAGGAACCAGGTTTGAATTAACTGTGGATCCTGCCTTGTGCCTTTCACATACTAGACATCCCCACTATTCAACCAATAATAATTTGTCGAATAAGTGAAGGGATAAGAAATGAGTGGGTCTAATTCATACTCTCATCCTTTCACTGTAATGTAATGCCTATGGGGGATATGTGTGTAAGGTTCTACTACACACACATAAAAACCTACTGTGCTAAGTATCATGGCATAGTAATTAAAAAGTAATTAAAAAACAAACATTGCTCTGCCCTTCAAAAGCTTATATTCTAGTGAAGACAAACACACTGAGTAATTAGGGTGTAATAAATGCTATAAAGGATGATTGTAGGGTGTTAAGAGAGAGTAATAGATTTTAATTTTTATTATTTTTTTCTGATTATTTCCTGATCAGCTCTAGGTTGGCTCTCTCAGGGACTACCGGTTTTGATGGAGGTCTGTTAAACTTAGGACTTCTTAGAGGATTAATATTAGATTCCCAAATAAAGTTTCCAGATTCAAGAAATTACACTTATATTGTGCTAAGAAAAGACTAACTTTTTTCTCTTTCTCCCTATCTCTCTCCTAGCCTGAAGTTCTGGATCAAATACAAAATTTAAGGGAGCTGTGGATGGATAATAATGCATTACAAGTGCTACCTGGGGTATGTAAGTTTTTATTATGACATGTTGTCTAGCATCTATGTTATATATTAATTGTAATTAATAATAATCTTCATTTATAAATCTCAGTGTTTGCCTTTCAAAGTAAAACATTTGTTTGGTCACCAAGTGTTTTTCACTAGTTTTTTTTTTTTTTCCACATACCTTCTGTAAGTGATGCAGGTATATAAAATGTATGAAAGATTTTTCTTGTTCTTTCAGGATTATATTTTTCATCTCTCCACATACTGATTTTTAAAAGCTGAGAAATTTATATTGTTATATATAGAAAAAGAAAATGCTACATATAAAATCCAAGTCTTATTTTTGCAAAATCAAACTAGATAATTGCTTCTGCTCATATTCTTAGAGCTCTTCCACAAAATAAAAATCTTTCTCTCAGTTTGGGTGATTCCCAATAGAATACATTTAAATTTTTGAAAATGGTATGTGACAAATTACAAAGTGTTAAAAATAGAAAGTTAAACTAGAGTCCATTTTTTTTTCAACTAACAGACAATCCAGTAATATTTCCCAAGTAGTAGGTTTACCAGTCAGCTCACTGAGTGTGAACATTCCTGCCTTTCCATTCAGTGAAAGAAAGGCTTCATAAAACACTGCCTCTTGCCACTCATAATACATGCACTCAAATAAGCATGTACATACACACACACATCAACCACAATATTCTTATTGGTAATAACCAATTCCAAACCCCTTACATTGGGCTAAGTAGACAGGGTAGCTGGATTTGTAATAACTCTTCAGCCACTGAGATTTAGATGTGTGTTCCCAAAGCCAGTTTTATTCTTTTTTTTTTTTTGACTTGACATTAAAAATTCCTTAAAATGATTGCAAAAGCAACTAGAACAAGAAGTTTTTCTCTTTTGAACAAGCATGAAACCACATAAAGGAGAAAATCTGGTAAAAGATTAAGGAAAAAAATACTTTCTTCTCCTATCAAAAGAATACATTTATACTGTCATCATAGACACAAAACAAAAAAGCATGCTCATCCTTTATATATTGATTTATTAAAAAACCGTTCACAAATACACATCTATGAACCAGAAACTATGCTAATGTTAGGATTACAAAGATCATATATTCAATGACCTGGAATATATTTATTTGAGGAGCTCACACATAATAGGAGAGGCAGATCTAGATTCCACTACACATAACAGAGCCTGATTTGTGCCATATTCAAGGTACGTACAGATCTTGGGGCAGCACAGGTAAGACACTCATCAATTTCTTGTGCAGGGATTGAGGATCAGAATGTATGTCTAGTTGGAGAAACCTATGCCTGCCTCTTTGATATATTTATTAATTCAAAAACACCTAGATAATGCCTAGCTCATGATAAATGCTAGGTGTTTTACAAATATTTACTCACTGAATCCTCATAATGAGCCTATGAAGTAGAGTTTATTACCATCCCCATGTTATGGATTAGGAAACTAAAACAGAAAGAGTAAGTAACTGTCCCAAGGTCATGCAGCAGGTAGATAGTGATAATTCATACCAGCACCAGAAGCCGTTGTTCACTATGATGTCCCAAAAGGCCACTGCTATAGAATCAACGGAAGGCACAAATGAGAGTTATGCTCATCTTACTTTCCATAGCCATTACATTCCCAAAATCCAATCTTGAAAGTCAGCTCAGACCTCAAATTCTTTAGTAAGCTTATTATCTAAATGGAAAAGTAGTGATCAAACCATCCATGAAACAGATAATGCTGCCTAATTTGTCTGTTTCAAGAGTAGATTTTTCTTATACACTGCTCTAAGTAGATTTCTCATTTTAGTTAGTACACTTGAGTTTCATATTTTGCTCTATTCCTTGTGGGAATCCCCCCACCTACTTGCCATAAAGAGGCATGGCTTTCTGAATGTCTATGCCAGCAAATAGTTGCTATGCAAGTACCTAGAAACACACGTCTTTGAAAAGCTAATCTTGAATGCAGCCTTTAACTAGCCCGTGTCTATCAGTTTCATAGAATGATTAATCCTAAATATTTATTGTCAAAAGACACAGGAAAAAAAGCAAGTTCATCTTATTCTTAGTTCATGTATCATAAAATATATGTATATATATTTATGTATACATAAAATTAATATACTTCTAAAATACCTTTGGAAGCCTGAACTATCATTTTGCTACTCTGTTTTTCATAAATTAGAGAAGCAAGTAGATGATGATGAAAAATTAGTCTTCTACATAGCTGTCTTGTGATGGTCCCTCTAAGATCAACCAATCAAAATGTGACTAAACAATGCATTGAACCTGTATTTATTCTTAAACAAACTTCAATATCTTCTTTTGTTTGTGATGGCTTCCACTCCTTTCATTTGCTGTCTATTGCTCACTTATAGACTCCTTTATGTCAAGGGGTGTTGGAGCAAGATTCAATATCCCCAAGGACTCTGAGGCTTTGGACTTCAAAGGCCTTTATCACTCCAGGCTACTATTGCTTTTATAAAGTGTTTGAAAGTGAGGGTTTAGAAAGACTCAAAAATAAACACCAAAGTGTTATTTTGCTTCTAAAAATGATCTTTAGAAATTTTACACCAAAATATTGAGTTGCACTGCAGATAACAATGAAGGAGGCTTCAAAGAGTAAAGACATTTTCTCATGATAAAACAACAAAAAAGAAACCCCCCCCCCCACACACACACACATAAACACATGTATCATTCTTTTCTTGCTCACCAGAAGAGAAGAATGAGCCATGGTAACATAATAGCTCCTTAGGGTGGAAATCTGTAAGTGAAGCGACAGTATTTTTCCAAGTGACATATTTCCAGGCATGGGGAGAATTCAGCCTTCTGACGTAGTCACCCAAAGTACTCTGTTCCTAGATTAGCAACTATTCATCTACTCCAAGACTTTGCTCACATTCTCTGCCTCCATAGGGAGAGAGGGAGCAGGGCTAGAGATATGTGCTAGGTTAATTAGAGAGTTAGAGGTCAGTAACTGACAAGATAATCAACAGGTTTTGTAGTCTGTAATCTGAGAAAAGTGAGTTTGAATTTTAGCTCCACCCCTTATTAATGGGGTAACTTTGGAATGTTACTTGTAGTAGATGCTGCCATGCATCATCCTCCTGGTATGAAGAACTGACTCTATTTCCGAAGCTTCTGGAAATGCTACTTGCAGCTCTCCACCCTCCTCAGGAATTGCTCCAGCTTAAGAGAACCTCCTTACCCAGGGTCACATCCTTATTCCGGGAGACTTCCACCCAATGACCAGTGATAAAGGTCTGGCTCCTCACCCTTCCTCAGGACAACTACAGGGCAATCCCAACTTAGTGAGTCTTGAAGGGCCAGCTGCAGACTTCCTCAAGACTTTATCACAGCTCAGCTTCTTCATCTGCCCAGTCGTGCTTCCTTTCTCCCCTCTGTCTTTCACTGGTATTGGTCCTAGAAACACTCTCTCATAAACGTCTCCTTGTCTCTGCTTCCCAGGGAACCCAGTGTGTACCATTACTTAATTACTAAGCTTTAATGTGTGTTAAAGTGCGGATTCTGATTCAGTAGGTCTGGAGTGCGTCTGAGAGTCTACATTCCTGACAGGCTTCTAGGTGGTGCCAATGCTGCTTGTCTGCAAAACACATTTTGAGTAGCAAGGATATGAAATATTAAATCAAATAATATATATAAACTACTTAGCACAGTGCAAAGGGTTTACCTGTGTGTTAATAAGTTTATCTATTTACACTCTGTCAAATAATTAGAGACAATATATTAAAGTGTACACAGGTAGATTAGATGAACAAATGACCCAGTGAACACGGATATGTGTGGGGCATTTATTTGCAAAACATGCCCTGAAAGAAAATGAAAATGAGGACTTTCATCTTGTTCTGACTCCTGTGGTCCATGTCCCAGCTAAGCAGCCCCTGTTACTCCTGTTCACGGTATGACTTTGTTCCTCCCTGTCCTCAGTAATTAGTTACTCATCTAATTCTCCCATTTCTAAATTTTTCTTGAGCTCATCCCCTCTTCATCCTCATTTCTGCTGTATTAATTCAGGTCCTTCTCATCTCCTCAGTGTTTCCAGATCCTTGTGATGGGTCTCTGCCACTCCCATCACAAATCTTTCTTCCACAGTCCCCTGAAGTTGATATTTTAAAGCACAAATCTGATCATGTCATTCTCCAACTTAAAAACCTTAAACAGCTTTCCTTGCCCATAGGATAGAATTGACATCTCCTCACATAACACATTAAGGCCTTTTAATACCTGGCTTCTTGTAATCGTACAAATCGAATTTCCCACTCTTCCTCAAACATGCCATGATTTTTCACATTTTGCTGTGAAGGTATGTGTCGTTTTCTCTTCTAGGTGCAGGTTCTGCTTTTCTTGACAATCTGTGTCTTTCAGACATTTTGCAGCCCTGTGCTTCTATGGCATTCTCCACATGCTTTGTTTTCTTGCACATGTTATCGAGTATTATAACTATTTGTTTATTTGACAGTTTCCTCCACTACTATGAGCTCTGTAAGGATAAAGACTTTGTATCATGACAAGTCTCTCCTCATACCTAGTTGACTTATTCAGTAAGTCTCCCATGTATAACACAAGCCCTGACACATAGTAGATCATCAAAAAGAACTGTTGAATGAACAAAATAGAGAATCTGTTTAAGGATAAAGTCCAAATCATGATTTAAAACCTTTCTTATGCATTTGAAATGTACGAATCAGCATGTTAACGTATGCTGTTTTGGTGGCGATCTTTATTTATTTATTATTTATTTATTCTTCTGCAGCTTTAAGATTCTTGTGTTGAGATGTAATTCACATACCATAAAATTCATTCATTTAAAATATACAATTCAGTGGCTTTTAGAATACTCGCGTGGTTGTATAGCCATCACCACAGTCTAATTTTAGAACATTTCCATTATCTCCAGAAGAAACCCTGAAGCCATTAGTAATCATTCCCATGTCCCCTTCCCCCCAACCTCCAGCAACCCTAACCTACTTTCTGTGTCTATAGATTTGCCTACTCTGGACATTTCATATACATAGAATCACACAACAAATGGGTTTTTGTAACTGGCATCTTTCACTGCATATGTTTTCAAGGCTCATCCATTTTGTAGCATATATTTGCATTCATTGCAAAATAATATTGCAACATGTGGATATACCACATTTTGTTTATCCATTCATCAATCGATAGGCATTTCGGTTGTTTCCATTTTTTGGCTGTTGTGAATAATACTGCTTTGAACATTTATGTTTTTGTGTGGACATATATTGCATTCTTGAGTATATGCTGAGAGATTGCTGGGTCATATGGAAACTCTTTGTTTAACATTTTGAGGTACTAGCAAACTGTTTTTCAAAGTGGCTATACAATTTTAAATTCCTGCTAGCAGTGTATGAGGATTGCAATTTCTCCACATTCTTGCGAATGCTTGTTATTGTTGTAGTTGCTTTTAAAATTAGTTTTACGGTGTTGTGGTTTTTACAACTTTCAATGTCTTGTGAAATTTTCTCAACTAACCCTGAGTTTATGCAATGTTATCAAGTCTATAGGGAAGTTAAAGATGTTGGTATACCTGGATATGTCAAAAAACAGAATAGAAACAGTTGACTTGGACATTTCTGGATGTGAAGCCCTTGAAGACCTCTTACTGTCATCCAATATGTTGCAACAGTTGCCTGAGTCTATAGGTGAGAATATTCTATTATGTCATGAATGTTTACATGAAATATATCATTTTCTTTTTTGGCATAGTCCTAGTTTATCATTAGATACAGGGAATATACTGTTAGCCTGACTGATATTAATAAATTACCAAGTTCATTATTGGTAAAATACTGTTTTTACATCTTGAATATCTTAAAATGAAATGGTAATACTAGTTATCAAATTCAAGAAGCCTCTCCTATTAAAATCTTACCAAATTGATATTTTTTTTTAAATGAAGATCTTTTAAGTTGTAAAATGTTATTGTAAAAATTATATTTATTAGATTTAGAGTAATTGATAACCATGTGTGTCTCCTTTTATCACCATAGAATTAGCTTCTATCCACAGTGTTGCCATATCCTATTTTCAATACTATTATAACACTACTATAATCTAGAAATAACATAAAGATGTATAATAATATAAAATCTCTTTGTGGTTCTATTATTAAAAACAGATACATTGCCTTTTATATGCTGTTAAGATTCATGACAGCAGAGAATTTGTCTTTTAGTATATGTCAAGCACCCAATTCATTTTTGTTATGAATTTTTATATGAGTAAAATAACTAAAGACTCCTAATTTAATAATGAGCAAAACTTTTTGTATAGATATCTTACTATTATTTATGAGAGGACTCAGGAGGGTAATCAGCCAATTATTTAACTTTGGAGATTAGTTTTTAACATGCTTTGAATTCGATGTGTCATATATTCTGTAACTTATTAAAACCTCTCAAAATTAAGTTATAACCTAGGTACACTGATTGAAAGGAAGCTAGAAGATAAGGCAGTATTTCAAATCTTTCTTCAATATTTTATTGCTTCCATTTTCACCATTCTTTCAGGCTAATAGACTAGGTTTTCTTTCTTTCTAGATTGATAATTTTTTTTAAGTAGCCACATACTTTATAACAGTATTTTTCCAGCTCATTCCATTGTAAGACTTATCTAAGAGCTTTATTGAACACTTACACATTTCCAGACGCTTTCTCTGAAAATTCTGATTCAGTACGCTTGTACTGAATCAGTACATTTGTTCCTTACTGCCTCCTCAGGCCCTCTGATTTGTTTTATTAAACATAAACATATATGTTATATGAAACATATAATCAGATAAGTCTAGAAAATACTGTTTTATGTTGTAGAAGGTGAGGAAGTATAATGGTTAAAAAGAGCATCCTTGGATTAAGATGACAGAGATGATCATCTGGTCAAGATAACCCTCAAGATATATGCCTTAAACTCCCACTCAATCACCACTCCATATCTCTTCAAAGACATAATGAAAATAGAAAAATGACTTATATTTGAAAAATATATTTTTGTTCCTTACTGCCTCCTCAGTACCAAGAACTATGCCTAGTTTATACTAAGGGCTCCTTAAATATTTAGCAAATAAAATAATTTAGCCATGCTTAAAAAGACTGAACATCTACCTGAACCTGAGCTAGAATGGAAATATTGCAATGACCCCACGCCTGATGGGCTCCAGACCACAAACAGCAGCGGTAGCTGTAAGTTCCATTTCTGCAGTGGAAAAAAGAAAAAAAAAAAGTACCTTAAGCATAACAGGAGAATCCACAGGAGATTGAGGCAGCAACTCCTTTTCTGCAGAGAACCTGAATCAATCTACAACTAGTATGTGGAGCTAGCATTGGAGAGAACAGATATAGATTCACTGCTGAAAACTGTGCAAGTCACAGCTAGTTTGGTCTGGATCTGCACTATCCACATGGGATGAGAGCGCCATGTTGCTAATAGGAGATCTGGTTCTGAACTCCAGAAACCTGGGGTCAGGGGTAGGTAACCATAAAACTGCCAGACAGGGACAGGTGAGCATAGATAAGGAGAAAATATTCACCCTCACAAATGAGCATGCAAACAGAAATCTTAAAGGAAAACTAATGTTGTAACAACAACAAAAAACTCGAATAGGAAAATTTACCCAGGAAAAACCAAAGTCATCAAGCAATGTAAAAAATGATTTTTAAGTATCTGTAGATCCTCAATTAGACAAAACTTACAATAACACTCATAAAAATAATAACTTGTAAAACAAAAACAAGAACTATGACTAAGAATAGGTGGTTATAAAAAAAAGAAACAATTAGAAATCCTGGAAATGAAAATGGCACATAGTGAAATAAAAGACAGTATAATTATTTGTTCAAAATATCTTCCTTTAAGAAAGCAGATGGGGAAATTAGCCTTCTGGTCTGGGGAAGACAACATGGATGGGTGATAGAAAACATCAGATTAGGTACTTGGCTGGCATAAAGCAGACTAGGATAGATAGGAGGGTACTATGTATTTAACACCTTCATTAAGAATCTGAATGGCTCTCAAATTAGGAAAGTAAACTTTGTTATACTCAGACTATATCTTTGGACCCTGTTGACCTTTCAGAGAAAATTACATTTATGTATCTGCAGAGTTGCCAGAGTCCCTGATTATAAATGGGGAATGGCTGACTTTGCTCCAAATATTCCCCTCTTGGTCAAGAGAAGGATCTGGGACAGGAGACTGAGAGCTTTGTCCTAAGGCCCTAAAAGAATTCGTTGATTCTGATTGGATGGGAAATTGTATCTTATCTTCTTTATTGGGACATCATTGGACTACCAACATTTAAAAGAACAACCCTTTGGTTTTAGTCCCTAACATGCCTCAAGACTTTTCACCACTACTTTCAGACTTTGGTACTGTGATTCTCTCAAAGGCTACCTTTCAACCTGGCTTCATGGTATTTGCACAGCAATCTGTGACCCAGCGCAAAACTTCTTATGCCTCACTCAAGTGACACTGAGACTGTCAACCCTCCTCTAGCTCCACTGGTAGGCAGGTGCAGTAGTTTGATAAGGGCTACCAAGTCATACAAAGTTTAGCTGTAATGCATCACGCCCTGTTTCCTTTTCACAATTGATGAACAAGCTCTTTTATATTTCCAAGGTTGATATTTCTTACATACACACCAGAGAAGCTGAAGTGATTCAGTCACCCTTTAACCATAGGTGAATATGGCAGTGGGTGAGCAAACCTCAGAGATAAATGACCCCGGTGAGAACTGTCCTCTTTCCCAGGTGCTACTGTTTTCAGCAGGGTATCCTCAGGGCACAAGCTGATGTATTAAAGCTCCGATATTTTGTAGATATTTTCTCACAGCAGTCTGACAGTGAGACCCTTTCTCGCCACTAGAGTAGAGATTCTGAGTGCTTCTCCAGAATATGTAACTGAGCATACTGAAATTTAAAGTGCAATGATCACTTTTTATTTCAGATCTATTCTGATTTACTCCATGCCTTTAAGGAATCCTCAGAATACTTGAGGTGCGTGGGCATGACCCACAGCAGTGCTTCTCAAAGCATATTCACAAAACACTAGCTGTACAAAGTATGCTGCACACTCACACACATTCTGCAATAACTTTGCGGAGTCACGTTGCTACATTAATATATTACAAGGTCCTAGAAAAACTTCATTAATGAAATATGTTTAATGTTATTTAATTTAGCATTTCACAAACACATTTGACCATGGAACCCACTATATCCCTGAGAACGAGTTTTCTGCAAAAAAAAAAAAAAAAAGTAGCCTACAGTATATATGCATATTTCCAATGTAAAACCAAAATTAACCACGCTTTGCCCTTGGACTTTGGCTATTTAAGCCATACTGATACTACATTGTGGCTGGGTAAAGGAAGCTGTTCTTCAATTACTCTGTGGTTATTAGTCATTAAAGCCCTGGTAATAATGCAGGCAGTAAAGGTATGGAAGGTATAAATCTGACAGGGAAATATAAAAAGTTGAAACTATTCTTGGCCAGTTCTCCTCGGTATATTAAAATTGCAAGTTTTTGTGCTTTCTGCTGATCCAAGTCAAGGATTTATGGTAACAAAAAAGAGTATGAGGTCATATGTTATAATTTTCCAAGTCCGTAATTACAACCACTGCATCACAATACCTCAGTACCCATTCGTTGATTAATAGGCTTACTTCAGATTTGTTTTTTTACATTTTTTTTTATTTTATTATGTTATGTTAATCATGTGCTTAGGAGTTAATTAAATATTAAATCATAGCTGGCTTAAAAATTTTCATCTGGTCCATTTGCGGTATACTAGATAAGGGAAACGTGGTAGTGTTGCTGTCAACTTAGGTTTCTATGGAGCCCTATGTTTTGTTTATTTGTCTGCACTGATGTACCCGAACTCTCACTGATGCAAGTAAAGTTTTTACAACTGGACAGTCAAGACTAGACTACATACAAACATATTTGTAGGTTTATATAAGCAGAGTGTAGCCAACTGGCATGATAGTCGTCGCAAGTGATTCTTTTTCTTTCATATTGTATTTCCTACCAGAGATCTGTTCTTATGTATTAATAAACCTTCTTCTCTGTTTTAGGACTGTTGAAAAAACTAACTACTCTAAAAGTAGATGACAATCAACTTACAATGCTACCCAACACAATCGGAAAGTAAGTGCCAAAGTTTCATATCAGTCAGCCCCTCTGAGCCAGAAACAAAAGGATATGTTAAATTTTTTTACTTCAAAACATTTTCTATCTTAATTTAGTTTTATATCTGAACACTGCATTGACACACTATATAATATCATGTGAAATAACTATGACTCTTTCATAAGCAAAGGGATTAGCCAGATCATTAATTATGTTATTGCCTATAATTTCCCAGATACTATTAATTGGATGTTTTTGACTGAGTAGCAGCTTGAAATTCACTTGAATGTGTCTTATGAAATCAAACCAATTTGTATAAAGCTCTGTAGTTTGTAAATGTTACCATTACACTATAAGTGATTTAAAATATATTTAGTAATTGTTATTTATATTAGTAGTACTATATAACAGTACTGTAAATGTTATTTATAAAAATAAAATTATTTGCCTTTGAAAATATGAAAAAGATTCATCAAAGATAAATGGGCCTATTCAGTTCAAGGTTGATTACTGGTTTACAGGGATAAAGGTTAAGAATCTTATCATAAAAGCTCATTTTCTTTTATATATATTTAAGTGCCATTATCTTCCTTTGATTATTGTTTCAGAGAAAATAAAAAGGAAGTGTTAGAGGAATGAACTAAAACAAAACAAAACAAAAAACAAACAAAAAAACTGGTGAAAAAACAAAGAAACAGAAAGAAGCCAATGGGAAGTGTATGGGAAATCTCTATACCTTCTTCTCAATTTTGCTGTGAACCTAAGACAGCTCTAAAAAAAATAGTCTTTAAGAAAAAGAAGAATGACTGACAAACTGGTTATTTAAACTTGGGCTTTGGGCATATATTTTGTCGAAAATGAACAAAGTGAGCTTGTCACTTCAAGGAAAACAACTAACAGTATTTGTCGCTGACAGTAAAATTTGAGCTCTCAAACAAAAATTGGAATTTTGGAAAATTCCTATCTGCCACTGTGAGCTTGACAACTTCCCAATCCTTACAGGCTTTTCTGATAAGACTAGTGTGATATAAATTAATGTAATTTGTTGATATTATGTTATGAAATGTGTCAACATCTGGAAAATCTGTATAACTCAGTGAAGCAGTATTTCCAAATGACCAATGCATGAATTACAAAATCAGACATGGGTAAAAGACCCATTCAGAATGCAAAATAGACCAGTTGATTTTAATGTATTGGTATGAAGAATAAGAAAAGTTCATTGATATAATTTCAGATTCTACATTGCAGTTATCCCCTAAAAAAATGCCACTTGTTGAGTTTTGGTGTAGTATCAAAGAAAAAATCACAATGATCCAAAAGGACTATTGAAATATTCCTCTCTTTTCCAACATCATATCTATGTGAGGCTGGATTTTGTTATATATAATTCAGTCAAAACAATACATCACAACAGATTGAATACACGAGCAGATATGAGATCTAGTACCATCTATTAAGCCAAATATTGAAGAGATTTGCAAAAATAAAAACAATATCACTTTTTTCACTAAATGTTTTTGTTTAGAAAAATATAGTTACTTTGAATAAAAATGTTATTTAACATGTTATAAGTTTAAGTTTATAGTTATAACATGTTATAAGTTATAAGTTTATTATTATTTAACAGGTAGTAATTATTTTTAAAACCCCTATTTTAATCTATAATATAAAAGATACCAATAGATATATAAACACATGTTATAACATATATACACAATATAAACACATGTTCTTTAGAGTTACCGATGATTTTTAAGAGTGTAAAGAGTCCTAAGACCAACAAATTTGAAGATATCTGTTCTATATCACATCATGTTTTGTACAATAAAATTACAAGAACCATTGTCTAACTTATGTTCTCATTTCAAGATAGCACCTGCATACAAATGTTTTGAATTTGCATGTATGGCAAAAAATAAACTAAATATCTAAAATTTTATAATATACCATAATAAGCAACCTATATGAGGTAAAAATAACAATAACAATAACAATGATAGCTCTGTTTTTCTTAGGGAATTCAGAATTGATAGATCAGAGGTTTAGTGCAAGGCCTAGAGGTGAAATTTGATTATGATCTTATTTAATGGCACCCCAGGGCACATGCAAAAAGTGTTTTGTAAACAGTAGAATAGTCTGCATTTATTATGAAACATGCTACCTAGAACTCTGGACCCCAAAATCCTAGAAATGTTAAGACCAGCTATAGTGATATTCTCATTCTGCACTTAGAATATTTCAATATGTTAGAATTATCTTAGATCATTTTTAGTAATCCAACTATAAAGAATTAGTTTTTGAACATTTTTCACAGTTGAAATGGATTCCATTACTTTTGTGCGAAATGACTTATAAAATTGATTATTTTTGTTCTCAAACCTTAATTTGTACCTAGAAGTTCTAGCCACTCTACAAATTGAATGTACAGTGAAAAATAATAATAAATAACTTTTTTCCCCCACATTCTGCCAAATACCATGTTTGGTGCTTTACACACATTCCTATTGAGTTAAAGCCCCAATAAACAGTTCCTATGTGTATTATTATCTCCCTCTCCCCATCAACAGTTACAGAGACTGAGGCTGAGAGAAGTCAACAGATTTCAAAGCTAAGCTGTTAAATGACCTATGATGCCTCTTAATATATATGATAGTTGAGTCACACATTTTGTAATATTTGGTAATTTAATGGATCCCACTGCTCTAGAGGCAAAGGATCTTCCACAGGAAGAGAAACTGCATACTAAACCTTCTCTTTCTTAGCTTCATATCCTTGGTCAAAAGCAATAAAAACTCAAGAATCTGAATGGAAATTTTTAAAAGTCATTCCCTCATATAGTATGGACAAACAAAAAGACTGTTGGACTGGGAGTCAGAAAATTTAAGTAACTAAGCAAAGCTGGGTAAGCCCCTTCTTCTCATTGGGCCTCAAATTCCTGAGGGATAGTGCAAGGAGCACTGGATTTGGAGTCGAACAACATGGGTGTGAACCATGGCTATGACACTCACTGTGTGTTATCAAACCTCTCTGTTGGCTTAGTTTCCTCATTTATAATGTCTACCTACATTTAAAATTTTCTAGTTCTTTGATCCAGATGTTTAGCCTATATGATGTCCATACCCTAGATAGCAAATTCCAGTAGTCTACTTGCTAAACAGTCGTAACAAGAAAATACGTGAACTTTATTCTAGGTACCCGAATGCTAAAAAACATTTTTCCCTCCGTTTCCTAATCATGGAAGGATACATAAGAAACTAGAAATGTACACAGCTTTAGGGAGGGGACTGTGGGGGCTGGTGAATAGAATAAACAGGGAGACTTGCTTTTATCACATACTCTTTGTAGTTTTTGAATTTTTTATTATGTAATGTTACACTAGTCAAAAGATTAAAGACAAAACACAAACACACATAGACACACAGACACGACCACACACGCATGTGCGTGCGCACATAAACACACATACACACGCACACACACCTTTCAGTAGATAAAACCCAAATTCTTTTACACAATATTCCAGTTTTTCCATTGTCTCATCTAAATCAGTGGTTCTCGGCATTTGTTTGTCTGATCAGCAGCATCAGCTTCAACCGGGAACTTGTTAGCAATGCACATTCTGAGGCAACCCCGATCTACTGAATGAGAGACAACCCCGAACTACTGAATGAGAAACTTTGGCATTGGGCTGGCAATCTCTGTGTAAACAAGCCCTTGAGGGGATTCTGATACATGCTAAAGTTTGAGAACAACTATCTAGATTCAGCTTTCAGCTATCAGCTACCGTCTCAAACTCTAATCTATTGTGCCTGTATCAGAATTACCTGAAATGCTGCTTTAGAGAGGAAGTTTAAAATGAAGCTGCTTTAGAGAGGAAGTTTACCATAGTGGTTGGTTGCTTTGACTCTGGAGCCAGACCTTCTGGGTTCAAAGTCTGGCTCTTTGATTTGCTATTGGGTCACAGAGCCTTAGATCCCTCCTCATAAAATGGAAATCATAATAATAATGCCTACCTCATAAGAATGTTGTGAGGATTAAATGTATTAATAAATAGAAAGTGCTACATATTCAACAAATGTTTTCAAAAAATAGTTTGATAAAGTAAAAAAAATTATTGACTTAGTTAATTTGCATTTCTGGGATTTGGATTCAAGAAATATGTTTACTGTTTTTACAACTTAATTCTCTCTTCTCTCTTCTACCCACCCAGACCACTGCAGCTTCCTCCTCTAAATTAAGAGTCATAGTACACCTACAAAGTAGACGAGCATTTTCTGAATTATATTTCTCAAAACAATTATTACTTGGGATTTTTTTTTTAAGATTTTATTTATTTATTTGACAGAGAGAGAGATAGCAAGAGCAGGAACACAAGCAGGGGGAGTGGGAGAGGGAGAAGCAGGCTTCCCGCAGAGCAGGGAGCCCGATGTGGGACTCGATCCCAGGACCCTGGGATCATGACCTGAGCCGAAGGCAGACGCTTAATGACTGAGCCACCCAGGTGCCCATTACTTGGGATTTTAATAAGTATGACACAAAGATAAGTTTCATGGACAAATAAGTTTTGGGAACTTTGTATACAAGTTAGAGAACATTCTAACTTGTGATATTTTTCCATTTCTTACATCAGTTTCTTATTTATCTTTTGTATCATCATTTAACTTGTCCATTATTTTGCCTTGTCTTACCAACTAGAATATAGGCTCCTTAAGTCTGGGATCATGTCTTGAGTATGTTTAATCTCCTTCATTGTGTGTACCTGAGCAGTATGGCAGAGGGGAATGTTTGCAAGCTTGGAACTAGACAGATTTCAATCCTGGGTTCTCCACTCCTTAACTAATGAACCATGAACATGTCACTTCACATCTCAGAATTGCAGTTTTCTCATCTGAAAAATGGAAAAAATAATTCACCTCAGAGGTTGTTGTGAGACTTAGTGGTGGATAGCTTTCAATAAATTATAATAGTCATGAATAGCAATAATTAAAAAGACATTTATTTATTTATTGTTGTTT